GCTTCTGTTCAGCCAATTCCTTCTGGTTGCAGTTGGTAACCCTCTTTCTCTGTGGATGGCACAGTTTCTCCATCTTGGAGCGGTGCCCAAATGGTGTGGTCCAGAGTGACTACCGCTGCCTCTGATGATGGCAGCGCTGCATCACTTCCATGTAGCCACGAATGGGCTCCTCTGAACCATCATCCAGAAGCAGGCAGGCAGGTGCTGGCGGCCAGTAGTCTGCTTATCTGCCTCCTTCACCAGCATTGCTGTGGTGGCTACTGCCCGGAGGCATGCTGGCCACCCTGCTGCCACAGAGTCCAGTCTGTTAGGCAACAGGTCTCTTCTAGGGACCCAGAGTCTGAATGAGAACCCTTTTGGCAATGCCCCTTACCTTACTCACTAAGGGCTTCGCGGCATCTGGCAAGGATAGGGCAGGCACTGAGACTTCCAGTTCAGCAGCTGCATTCCCCCAGTACTTGTTCCTTCCGAGGTCCACAGTCCTTCTGTGATGTCCAAGGAGGCTCCCTGGACTGATGTACGGGTTCCATCAGCTCTGTCAAGACTGAATAGGTTGCCCCAGTGTCCATGAGGAAACTAACAGGCTTGCCTCTCCTAGCTAACCTGTCAGGACATTCTCTTTACAACCTTTACAAAAATCTTTATCAAATTAACTTTTAAACCTCCTTTCTATATCCTTCAAAAATACATAACCATGCCTTAAATCTTATAGAAAAGGCAAGGGAGAAGGGAACAGGTCCAGTACCCTGTTCCCAGGCCTCCAGCCACTTGAAATTTAAAATGCCACATTTTTTCCTAGATACAGATTTATCTGCATCTCTAAGCCGCCCCCCCCCCCACCAGTGAGAAGTGTCCAAGCAGTCGTCATGGAGGGTTAAATCACACAAATAATTATTCTCACATTGTTTTAGCACAATCTATAAATCTATAAAGTAGACACACATGACTGAAACAAAAAATGACTCCCAAAGTTTAAACAACCGAATGTACAAAATACAAGATGCAGGTACAAGCCCAAATTCAAGCTTACAATGTGATTACAAATGACAACAACAATGGCATATAAAGCAAAACAAAACAGATTAATATGACTTGGCCTACTTTTTAAACCATTCACAAGAGGCACACTATAAATTTTGAACAAATTTACTTAGGTCTGTATGAAACAACTTGGATAGGGCTCAAGCATCACATAGATTCCTCATCTGACAAATGAGAACAAATCAATCCTTGAGATCTTTGATCATTTTAACTGGCAAATACTGCTAATACAGTTCAGCCTGCCATATAACATTCTAATATCTCTCTCCAGGCTCTTGTCTCTTATTTGTACTCTAGGCATTTAGTTATCGCATATACTTCTCTCAATTCAATTTGAACCTTAAACTTCCAGAGCTTGCAAGTCAAATATTTAGCAGTTCTTTATTATATTCATATGTAAACTTGTCCTTTATAAAATTACCACAGGCAGAAAGCTATTTCAAAGGAGCCACCTTTAGCCATTTGAATAGAAATGAACACATTCTTTAAAAATGGCTGAAGGAACTTGCCTACCTGAAGCTGGGGGGAAGGGCGTGCCACCCCTTCCTTCATTAAAAAATGTTTTCATGGCCAGAAAAGACTCCAAACTTTCAGAACTTTAAAATTTTCAGGTAGCAAATCAAATACTTAGCATTTCCCAAATCAATAATACTTTTACATTTTTAAAGCAATTCTCTAGACTTCATGCAAGGCATACTTGGATCAACACTTCAATAAACCTGTTATCTATTTTCTGTTTACCTGCCTCAGGGCAGGAATTTCAGAAGGACTTTTGTTTTGAGAAACCAGCTTTAATTTTATCTCCCTATGTGCACTCATTTTGAACTGGCCTTTCCTCCTTACGTGAGAGCACAAGGCCTCCCCTCCTGGACCCTACGCCCAGTAGGGGGTTGGGAGGTCTCCCCCGAACCGCCACTGTGCCCCCACCTCCCGAGCTAGGCCTTACTGCCCCAGCCACGCTCTGGTCGGCCTGCTCCCCGGCCCACACTGCCACAGGTCCCACACCCCGGAGTGGCTCCTCCTTTGACCACGCTCGGCAGCACATAGACATGGCCCCATCTGGGAACTGTGCTGCCTGCCTACAACCCAGCTGCCCCACTCCGCTTGTGGCGCAGCAGCTGGACCAGCCCGGCGCTCGCCTCTGACACGGTGCCACCTCACGGCCGCCGACTCTGAAACCCACTCCATAGCCACGAGCCACAGCACCAGTCCAACATACCTGGGAGAGGTCTCCGTCCCTCTTCCACATTTGAGACCTCAGCTCACGCCGCTGTCTCCAGACGCTGGCATGTTCACACACCAACTTTCACGAGAGGTTGGGTACTTCTCCCCACTCTCCAGCCCATAGTCTTTCAAGGTGCATCTTCCCAGATGTGTTTGAGCACTACCCACAGGAATCTTTCACTCTTTCAGTCACACACAAACACACAGACACACACACCACACACCTCTACCTCGGCCAGCAAGGCTCTCTGGATTTGGGGTCCCCCAGGGTCTTGGGAATCCCGGAGACTCCCAGGAAATCCCAGGCAAGACCCCAAATGTTGTACCCAGATTCCGTGATCCCCAAGGACCAGCAGGGAGCTGAGTCTGATGCAATTAACAAGAGAGCCTCTTCCATGTTAACATGGGTTCTGTCCCACTCATACCAACAGCATGGCTGACGAGAGCTCGAACTTCAATAAGTCCAGGGGTTTTATATGGGTGGTGATGTCACTGCTCTGGCTGACCCTGATTGGTTGGGTGAGGGCTAGGGTCCAGTTACACAAAATGGAGGATAGCTCTCCCCTCCCCTGCCCTCTCAGGTGCCAATGGCTTCCTCACACATCTGCCAAAGTTAGATGGAAAGCTAGTCAAACCCCACACAGACAAGGACCACCGTCCAGGTTTCACCTCTTCAGTAAAGGGGAGTATGGTTCTGACCGAGGAGATGGGCTGGTCAACCTCAGCCCCCGGGGAACACAGGGGCTGAGCTTGCCTACTAGGTGTGCACTCACCTGTCTTCCAGCTTGGTCCCCACCTGCCTGCCAGACTCCCAGAGGTCCCCCAGCCATCACTTGCTGGCTTTAGCAGGTGCTGGGACTTGGGGTGGCATCTAAAGAGTTTAATGGGGACCTGCCCAGCTGGCCTTGTGCTGCCGGAAGACCAGAGCGGGTTAAGCAAGGCCACAGTGAGGAAATGGGTCGTAGGCTCAGGGCCTCTGGTCAGTGGGGATTCGGATTAAGCAAAGGCTGCAGACTATGCTCCCGGGGCTGGGCATGGGCGTGGGCGCTGGACGGTGGCAGGGCCCCCACTGCCGCCCTTGTGGCTGTGGCTGGGCACTTCGCTACTGGGCTCTGTGGGGTCTCATGTATGATGGGAGGAGTCTGGCAGACGCGGCTGTGGCCAGCGATGTAGTCCCTTTCTCCAGCTCACGAGCGGATTCCATAGATACCCCCTCTCCCGGATGGAGGTGTGGAGGTAAAAGGTGGGTAGGGCCGGCTCCTTCCTTCCCGAGTCTGGGTCCCAGGCATCCATGGAGCCTGCCCTGCAGGGAGAAGCCAGCAGACCCCCGTGGTGACAGGATGTCTGATGGTGAGAGCAGGGCCCTGGCTCCCTGAGATCTGGCTGCAGTGTTTGGGGCCCTGTTGGAAAAAATAGAAGGGGGTCGGAGAGAGCGGGTTGTCTGGTGCTGTAGGGGCAGGCGTACACCTGCTTTGACAGGCTTTCTTCTTGTGGATCCGAGGAAGGTAGGGCGGGAGAAGGAGCAGAGTCCACAGAAAGAGCACATTTTCCCAGATGACTGGGGCCTGGAGGGAAAGCCTTAAATGTCTGGTAAATGAAGTCTGATTTTTGTGGGGTGTGTCTCTTGTTAAGTTCAGGCACTGTTTTGCAACTTAATCTTCAGTGTTGCCTCAAGCTTACAATAATCATCCAAAATGTTATCTAATGACATTCTTAGGACTTTAGGCAATAATATTATTAATAGCATCTAGTTACATCCAGGTTCTCAGGATTTAACTAGATGCTATTTAAAAATAACAACAAACAAACAAACAAACAAAAAAAAAAACACAACTGAAGTTTATTAGATCATTTCACATTCCACTGTGGTCTCCACATTTTAATACATTGCTCATTCTTGTCACCAAAATATACTTATGTCCCTTATACGTTGAATATTAATAATCTCTGCTTCCCTGATTTTTTGAGGTGACCTTTCTCTCCTATCCTTTTAATAAAGGAGAACATTTCCTCTGGTCCTTTGGGGAGGGCAGGAGAAAACAACTATTTGATTGAAGGGTTTGTAAATGTTTGTACATTTTGTAATTATTGTATACATCTTTTTCTCTTTGGTTTTTTTCTATTCTTCTCCAAAACGTGTACAGTAATTGAAAAATGCATTCACTCTTCACTCAGTTGCCATGCCAAGGGCATTTGTAGGTTTCCTTTGCTCCTGACAACATTTGACTGTGTTGAGGAAATTCTGTAAGGAACCCCAGACTGGGCCACACCTGTGCGTTGGGAAAGGGAGTGGATGGGCTGCAGGGCAGGGAGGGCCAGTGTAATGACCCACTGCCTTCTCAGCAAGGTGTGCACATGGAGGGAACTCTGCCGTGATTGGTCCCTCGTAACCAAGGTGACCACAGAATGTGTTCTGGTTGGCTGGGGCCAGCTAGGAGACAGGCCTTCAGTTGAGAAGCAGCTGTGGCAGGCGGTGGAGCTTCGGCTGTGCTCTCTTCTTGCAGTGGTTGTGGTTCTCAGCAGTTGCTGATCAGCACACCTTTTAGCTGAGTGAGACTGTGGCTGTCCTCACAGACTGGTCCCCTCAGTGGAGGCAGCAGCAGCTGACAGCTGTGTGGGGGTGCGGGGGCGGGGGGGAGGAAGCAGGGGCGTGGTTTGCCATTTTGTGGGGAGAGGGTGGTTTGGGGGGACTGTTGAGCGAAGGCAGTACCAGCAGCTAGGAGTAGAGGTTCCTCATGGGGAACAAACTCACCTGCCGCTGCCTGAAGCCCAACGCCAGCCCCAAAGTGGGCCGGAGCGTTGAGTGGGTGAATCCACACCCTGAGTCTTATGTCTGTGAGGTGACTCAAGCTGGCCAGACATATAAGAACTCGGATTTTGTGTTCTGCAAATGCCACCCTGTGGTGCGCCTCAGTCTCCTGGAAATTCCCAAAGGTAAGGAGGTGGCAAGTGTTCACTGCTGTCCGTTACACCGCTGGCCTCTGCTGACTGCAGGATCCTCTAGATGAGCACCATCTCAGACTCCTTCTTGCCTTCTTTCTGGCATCCCGAGCCTTCATTTCCCCTGTCATGTCTGGCCAGTTTCTCTCTATGTTTACTACCCAGATGTCCAGTTCCTTCTTCCATCCCCAGCTCAGCCCGAGACACTCCAGTTGTCCCTTCCTGTTCATGGCTCTGTTTAACGTCTCCAGGGGCTCCAGGAAGAATTTGGGTATATGTTCTCCTTTTTCTCAGTGAAAACTTTAACATCCCGACTGCAGTTTCCATCCCTTCTCCCTATCCTTATCCAGCATTGTGGTACTTAGTGTAGGAATCAGGTAGGGCCCAGTGATAACCCTTGCTCCCACCTATTAAGATAGTTGATATTCTGGACAGTTCAGCTGCAAAGATTTCAGGGTTTGTTATGTAAACTCAAAATCAATAACTGACATAGAACCTATATAGAGTTCTTGCGTAGGCAGTTTTCAGTTGCCTGAATAGAAGCTGTTTACTCCTTCCAACTGTAATTTGAACACAGAAGGAAATTGTGGGAGAGGGAACTCAAAATTTCTCAAATGACATGAATAGTTATTTGTTTGGTTTTTACATTTAGGAGGATCCAGGGAGTTCTGATTACTTTAACATGTCCACGTTGACACAAATTTCCCGCAGTCTTACTTCAGGGACCTAACAGACTTCCTTGCCATATCGCTTGTTCTAAAGGAGGTGTGGGTTGTTCACAAAAGTGTTGGTCAAAAGTTTCCAGAGAGAACACATACATGTAGACTTTAATTTGTAACATAAAATCTTGGCAGTTAAGATGCAAAATTGTGCACAAGAATGTTTATCTTCATCGTCTCCCCTACTGCCAGTAGATTCCTGTTTAACTGTAAGAATGTTGAGGTAAAAGTGCTAAAGATCAGATGCCTGAGAGGAGCTTGGAGAGTGGAGAAGTGGGAGTTGAGAGGAGGAAGAGGAGATATGCTACCTGGTTCAAAATAATTCTGGGTAACAATGTAGCTAATGAAGAGTGATTTGTGAAGTAGAAAACGTACATTTACAAAGATGGTAAAGCCTCTTTGGCCCCTCCTTTTTTTTCTTTAAATGTCAGAGATTATTTCATTATTTTATAGAGAAAACACATCATAGCTCTTATTCTATTTAAACTAGAGTTGAGCTTTTAATTAAAAAAAATTAGAATAATTAAGCCTAAGGATTCACCTGAATGGTGGATATGTCTTTATATCCACCTTATAACTGAAAACTACTCCCTGTTCAGAATATTAAAATAGTGTGAAAAAAGTGAATAAATTATGTGAATTAATGAATTGTACCTTTAGACACAAAACAAGTGAGAACCTGTGGAAATTTCTGTTCACTCTGTTTGGTGCTGTAAGGTGTGCTTCTGTCTGAGTGATTTTATAAACCAGTTAGTAGATGAGTAGTGTTGGGTGAGAGACCAAAAAGGACCTTTATATAGTTCTTTTAAGATTTACAACTCACTCCCATGTATAGCCCATTTGGTCCTTCTAACTTCAAACAAGTCCTGTGTATATTCTCCTTCTATTGCTAATGAAAAAACAGAGACTTAGAGATGTGAACCAACTGTGTAACCAGCTGCTAAACAGAATAGGCTGACATGCAGATAAGAGATGTGCCAAATTCAATTTGGTGATGCATATAGAGCTCTCTTTAGAACGCAGCCTATATATTATAAACTCTCCACAAAGTGAGTCTATTTAACTTGGTCTAGTCTTGATTATTTCCACTTGAAATTATTGTATACAATTATTGAAGCAACAATTACCACTCCATCCATGTCTAAAACAACAACAAACTGATGAACAAAATTGATCCAGAGACATAGAAATATGAAATAGCTGATGAACCTCAGAGGGAAGGCTGGAGTGGGTGGATGGATGGATGGGTGGGAATAGATCAAGCAAAGAACTTGTGTGCATATATATGCATAACCCATGGACACAGACAGTAGGGTGGTGAAGACCTAGGGGTGGGCTAGAAGGTGACAATTGTGGGAAATAGGGGACATCTGTAATACTTTGAACAATAAAGATTGAAAAAAAATCACTTTGATAAAAGTATAAAAAGTCACTGTCATGAAAGGTTCCCTGTAGATGAAAACATTGTGCCACATTGAATAGCCCCAAGTAAGCCACAGCTAACTAAATAAGTTCATTTTGTGAATGAGGTTAGAATTAGAGTTATGGTTAAGAATATTTGCCAAATACAGCTCATGTGATTTGGGCATATTTGATATATTAACAGGTATTTGACAGTAATTGGCCACAATTTAACTTGTTTCTTCACACTGTTTCTGAAATGTGCTAATATTAGCATGAAAGAGAGTGACTGTTTCTAGTTGATAAGTACATAATTCATAGATTATTTAGGTCCAAGTTAAAAAAAAAAGTCTAAGACATAGCCTGGTTTTACTGCACATGTATAGCAAAATAATGCAATTTTGAATTTTCCCAGTAGTTTTTATATTGTTACCTTTACTAAAATTAAAATTGGCTTATTACCATTACTTAAAAATCTTCTCAACAGTAAGTGATACAAATTGATGTGTAGCTGTTTTTTTAATTATGAATTTTCCTACTCAACAAAGTTGTATGCCTTTTTCTGGGCTTCAGGTTTAATCCCTTCTGTCCATCCAAGGGCTGGCACAATTTTCCTCAAGAAAAGTCAAGTGATCGGTAAGTCAAGATAGGATTTAGATCACAGATTTTTGTTTGAACAAATAAAAAACATTTCAGTTGTTTATATATGAGGATTGAATCTGTGATCTTACATAGTGCTCAAGCAAATGCTATCTCACATTAGAATTTGAAGCTATTCTAACTCTCTCATCCTAGGTAATGCTGCCCCAGAGTACGTCAGAGGAACAGAGCCCTATGGGTGTCCCCAGAAGCTTAGCAGGAGCATGTGTACTATGTCAATTTCCTTTGTCCTGTTTGTTTTAGGATAAGAACCCAGAACTGGAGGATTTTAATGCTTTTGCTTGCCTGCTTATTTCCTTAACGTTATGTTCAGTTGAGTTTACTTGCTTTAAAAGGCACACGGATCAAGTCTTTCAGTTGATTGTGACAGCAAAAGTACAGGCAGGGAAAGGTCCATTTTATCTCAATCCATGCAGCTCAATAAAAAGTGGGGGTTTTAACATGCATTTTCATGGCATGTGTGCATGACTGTCTGGAGCTGATCATTTCAGTTAGGATTGCTGTGTTTCTCAGTTTCTTCCAGAGCCATGGGCTGCGCACCTGTAAAGAGAGGGCTAGAGAGCAAAGGAAATGCTATCCTGTGCCCCTCTCTGCAGTCCTGAGGACTGTGTGCCTCCAGTTTTGTATGTTAGTAATCTTTCAAGTAATCAGTAACTTCTGTTTTTTCTATGGCATTTGTATCAGTATTGATCAGTTCATTCTTTTTATTCTTAGTGGGAGGAAAGAGAAAGAACAACTATTTCTACCATGTAAGTAAATAGTTGAAAAGTTATGTAAGAAATTAGTAATTTGAATTAAAAATTGTCTGCCATAATTGTTAAAAATCTATTATAAACCCAGTATCATTAGCATGAACCTTTTTTGGGAAGATTTTCTTAATCACTTCTGTTATCTTAATTAACAAGTTTACATATTCAGGAAAGTTTTTGGCTCAGTAATAGTCATTTTTTAAAAGGGGTTCTGATCTTTAAGTAAAATGTCAGTAACATGATTGTGGTATAAAAATCTGCCATAATTTTTTGCCTTAACTTTTAATTTTTTTTAAACAAAATTAACAGCAATATAATAGCTAAGGCAATTTTTGTGTTATCTATTGACTTATTGTCGTAGCAGCTGAAAGCTTAGCTTTCTCCCTCCAGTGTGGTCTTATTTCTTTCTCTCTGTCCTCCCAACATGTATCATAGTTTTTAGTAAATCATAATCAGTGTTTCTATTATCGTGACTATGCAAATATTTGTTACTGTTGAGCCATCTAGTTCTCTGGCCATGCCTTTTTCTTGTATACCTTTCATTCTTTTTTTTTTTTTTTTAATGTTTTTATTTAATGATTTTTGAGAGGGAGGGGAGATAGAAATATTCAGAGAACTATCAATTGGCTGCCTCCTGTACACCCCCTACTGGGGATTGAGCCTGCAACCCGGACATGTACCCTTTCTGGAAATCAAACTGGTGACCTCTTGGTTCCTGGGTCAATGCTCAACCACACTGGCTGGGCACCCTCTCAAAGCTTTTAACCTCTACCGCAGAAGGAAACTGGGATCTGACCAACAGGCAAACCATGGGTGGTTCTTCGCTGTAGGAGTGTTCACATCCTGCAAGCACCTCTGGTGGTGAGATAGGTATGACCTCATCCCCACAGCCTACTGGTTTCGAAGACCTAGAAGGAGAGACATCCATTTACTTATGCCACACCCTTTTTGCCAGAGGACCCCACAATCCTGCCAAAAGTGTACATCATCCCCATTTTACAGGGGAGTAAAACAAGGCTCAGATTCATAAAGGGATGTGCCCAAGGTCGCTTAGATCATAAGAGGTGGGTTGAGGTAGAATCCAGGTTACTTGACTCCAAAAACATTGGGTTGTGGGTACGGAGAGTCCCCAGGATCTATGGCAGGTTTGTGCCTGCATGAGCTGGAACTGTCCGTGAGATGAACCCCTCAGGAGTGGCCTGGGTTTCGAGCCGCCCTCCACATCTGCAGCATGGAATCCTGGCGGGCTGTGTAGGGTCAATGTTTGATGCGGAACCAATGTCTGGGAACGATGTTCCCACTGGGAAAACACAGCTTCTCTCCAGGTGGACCCAAGAGATTGTGCAGGGCCAGGTTGCCAGACAGAATCTTCTCATAGAACTCCACTCCACCCTGGGAATAGGCTGCAGACATGGAAGCTGTGCGTGGTCCATCCAGGCTTCCAGGGCGTGAGTGAGAGAGTCTGTGGAGAAGGCATAAGCCACAAAGCCTACCACTGCGGCCACCAGGTTGAAGGCAACTCTTAAGTTCATGGGGCCTCCATAGAGCCCCAGGGCATGCTTGGCACTTATGCTCAGTGTCCAAGTTCCTGCCAGACAAGCTGGGGCCGACAGGGTCTGCAGCACAGCTGTACTGCTCTCCAGGTACACCACCTCCCTGGCCAAGGCAAGCTTCTGGGCATCATGGAATAGGGTCAGGGCGTATTTCAGCCGGGTACCTTCTGGGCTTTTCCAGTCCACTCTTTGCCTGTGTACAATCGCAGGGTGGTCAGTTTTGGTCACTGAGTCACCCAGGAAGCTGGCGGGGATGCCCACCACGGCCCCAGCAGGGAGTCTTGGGAAGCCAGCACTCACCGGCAGGAAGGTGAAAGTGGTGAAGGCCTTGTACCCATGATCCGATGGGATGCCAATGTCCTGTAGCACCTCTTGGAAAAGTCTCTGAAGCTTTGGGGAGAGCGGGGCTGGCTGGCCCTGAGGCCAGTACTATAGCCATCGAACCACAGGATCTGGGAAGAGGTGGTACAAGATCTGGGCCCCAAACAGGCCCACACAGGAACCCACCAACAGGCCTGTCCTATGTCTCTGCACAAATGCTGTGGCCCGCCCCAGGGGACTGGCCATGGATGCTGCTACTGCTACAAACCTTCTCTGCCTCCATCGCCGCAGCCTCGGACGCTGCCCCCTTCATTCTTTTGATCAAAAAATGTATATGCACTCTGCATGATTATGTTGGTGTTTATTAACTTACTAGAGGCTCTGTGCATGAGATTCATGCACTGGTTGGGGGTGTAGCCTGTGGGCATAGGCCCACTGGGAGAGAGGCCAAGCGGTGCTCCCCCAGTGGGAGTGCACTGACACCAGGGAGCAGCTCCTGCATTGAGCATCTGTTCCCTGATGGTCAGTGCACATCATAGCAACCAGTCATTCCACCATTTCCTCATTTTGCTATTAGTCTTTTATTATATAGGATAGTTCATTTAAAAAATTTTAAAGAACCTACAGAAGTGAATAATTTTTGTCAGTGCCTGTTTTCAAACTTATGACCATTTTGGTCCAAGCACTGCTGACAAAATAAAGCAATGGAATTGCAAATGTCAAGAATTAATTATTTTAGTTGATAATTGTGTGCCCTCAATTTGTCACCTATTGCCGGTTTTATATCTCCCCATTAAAAAAAAAAGTTTAGTCAGGGTTTAGAATAAGTTTTCTTTGTTCAAACCATAGGCTGGCTTTACCTATTATTTTGAATCAATTAAACCTGAAAAGGAGTGAAAATTGAGTTATCAACTGTTAAAATGTGTATTCATTTTTGGCGCCCCTATATTACTGAAATTTCAGCACTGTTACACTTCTCCAGGATAATACAAACCTCTCTTTTTTATGAAAATGATCTCACATAGCCAAATTCAGAAAGTAGGCTAGCCTTTCTGATTTCAGAAATAACTGCTTTATATCTAACAATCTAGTAATTTGGCAGAGAAAGATGATTATTGGACAAAAATTCTACATTTTTGCTACATTAACATAATACCTAGTACGTTTTCATTTTTATGTGTGTGGAATTAGTTTTTTTAGTGTAATCACTTGTTCTTTTCTATTTTTTCCCCCCTGAACATGCTGTGACATTTGTCATAGACCTGTCAAAAATATTTTCCATGTACTAAACACGTTTGTTCTATTTCTTATTGGAAGCTATCTCCCTAGCTTTTTGTTATCTTCTTCTACTATACACTTGTTCTCCAAAGGTCTGTTCTATGCCTGCTTTTAAGCATATTTCTTTGAAGTCATCTGGGATCTCACACACACTGGTGTTGAATCCCAATTTCTTAAGTCAGTGATTTTCAAACTTTTTCATCTCATGGCATGCATAAAATAATGACTAAAATTCTGTGACACATCAAAAGAATATATTTTTTTACCAATTAAAAAAAAGTGTAATTGTGATTCATTCACTTTTGATGTCTATTGTGGTATTGGCTGTTGTCATTTTGTTATTTGACAATGTAAGGGAAAAGATCAGTGCCCCTGCCCAAATAGATATTGCATTTTGTAAATATTCTTGCCACACACCAGTGTGCTGGGTGGAATACTGGCTAAAAAATCACTTTGTTTATGTTTTCCTCTGTATTGTTATTCTCCTTTGTTTCACTGAATATCTTTTTTTCCTGGGAAAGGACACATGGGCAGAAATTGTAGCCTCCTGAAATGCCTCCTACTTAATAAAGCAGATAATTATAAGTTGAAATAAATAAGAACTGTCTTTGCAGTTCTAAAGACATTTCTACTATTTTCTCATTACATTGTTGCTCTTAAATATATTGATAATGTATGATATGTTGTATATTTGCAACTTTAGTAATTTCCCCCAGGCTTTCTTCTCTGGAAATATTTAGAAGCTTACCTATTCCTGGGATTCTGAAATTTCATGTTATGTTTTGGTATGCATCTTTTCATTGTATTGTGGCCATTAAGACTCCAGGTCTTATCTACTCTCAGGGGATATTTTTGTTTCTTTTATAAATTCTTTATTCCTTCTTTTTACTAATATTCCCATTAGTCAGAAGCTGGAACTCTTAGACCAGTATTTCTGGACAAATCTCTAAATATTTCCCCCCCTTATTTCCCATTTTGTCTTTTTCTGCTTCCTAGAGATTTCCTTGAGTTTGTTTGCCAAGACTTTGTTTTTCTTTCATTTTCTTTCTTTTTTTAGTTTTTTTTTTTTTTTTTTAAAGTTTTTATTGATTTCAGAGAGAAATAGAGAATGAGAGAGAGATAGAAACATCAATGATAAGAGATAATCATTGATCGGCTGCTTCCTTTATGACCCTTACTAGGAATCAAGCCCACAACCTGGGCATGTGGCCTTAACTGTAATCGAACCTGGGACTCTTCAGTCTGCAGGCTGGTGCTCTATCCACTGAGGCAAACTGGCTAGGGCCACCAACACTTTAAAATTCTGTTTTATCTAGTTTTTAATTGTTAGTGTTTACTTATGTCCTGTCATTTTTATAGAATTTCATTCTTTTACCACTGTAATGTTTGCTTTTGTATGGTTTATTTATTTGTTTGTTTGTTTGTTTATTAGAGGCATAGTGTACTAATTTGTGCATGGGTGGGGTCTTGGTGATCAGGATCAAATGAGGGGGGCATGCCTGCAGGGCAGAGGAACCGTGGGAAGTTGGCTAGCCAGCCCCCCTTTATTTCCAGCAGCAAGCAAGGCATGACGGCTAAGAAACAGCTATTCCATGTGGAATCGGGCTCCCTTCTCTCTCTTGTCTGGGTTTGGGGTGCAAGTGAACCAGATTCAGGGCTGTCAGGGCCCCAGCAACAAGGTCTGGGGCAGTGCACATCATAGCTACTGGCTGGTCATCCAGTCATTCCAGTCATTAGGCTTTTTTTTTTTTTTTTGAGTTTTTATTTTTTTTAAAATATATTTTGAAGGAATATTTAATATTAACATTGTGAGTTATTATCTTTTGCATATCAAAGTTACACATTTCA